TGGGGAAAATGGGGTTGGGTGGTGAAAAAAGGGGGTTTTGGGTTAAAATGGGGGAAAAAGGGGGTTTTGGGTTAAAATGGGGGGAAAATGGGGTTTGGGGTGAAAAAAGGGGGTTTTGGGTTAAAATGGGGAAAAAAAAGGGGGTTTTGGGTTAAAATGGGGGGAAAAGGGGGGTTTGGGGGGAAAAAGGGGGTTTTGGGTTAAAATGGGGGTGTTATTTGCCGATTTTTGGGTGTTTTGGGGTGTTTTTTTTTATTCTGGGGTAATTTTGGGGTGTTTTTTGCCGATTTTGGGCTGGTTTTGGGTGATTTTTTTGTGTTTTGGGGTGTTTTGTGGTGTTCTGGGGTGGTTTTGGGTAATTTTTGGGTGTTTTTTGCTGATTTTGGGGTGATTTTTGTGTTTTGGGGTGATTTTGGGTGTTATTTACCGATTTTGGGGTGTTTTTTGGGTGCTTTTTTGTGTTCTGGGGTAATTTTGGGGTGTTTTTTGCCGATTTCGGGGTGGTTTTGGGTGATTTTTTCGTGTTGTGGGGTGTTCCTGGGTAATTTTGGGGTGTTTTTGCCGATTTTGGGGTGGTTTTGGGTGATTTTTCGTGTTTTGGGGTGTTCCGGGTAATTTTGGGGTGTTTTTGCCGATTTTGGGGTGGTTTGGGGTGATTTTTCGTGTTTTGGGTGTTCCGGGGTAATTTTGGGGTGTTTTTGCCGATTTTGGGGTGGTTTGGGGTGATTTTTTTCGTGTTTTGGGGTGTTCTGGTGTAATTTTGGGGTGTTTTTGCCGATTTTGGGGTGGTTTTGGGTGATTTTTTCGTGTTTTGGGGTGTTCCGGGGTAATTTTGGGGTGTTTTTGCCGAATTTTGGGGTGGTTTTGGGTGATTTTTTTCGTGTTTTGGGGTGTTCCGGGGTAATTTTGGGGTGTTTTTGCCGATTTTGGGGTGGTTTTGGGTGATTTTTTCGTGTTTTGGGGTGTTCCGGGGTAATTTTGGGGTGTTTTTTCCGATTTTTTGGTGTTTGTGGGTGATTTTTGTGTGTTTTGTGGTGTTTTTGGGGTCTCACCCGCAGGCTGTCGCAGGGGGGGGCGATGTCTCCCATCAGGTGGCTCAGCAGCGCCTCCGTCGGCGCCCCCGGGTGCTGCAGGAGCCCGGAGGAGGCCCCGGCCACCTGCACCCACAGCTCCAGCACCCGGTACAGGCGGGCGCGTACCTCTCTGATGGGGGGGGGGGACAACGATAAAAGAGGGGGTGTCACACGCCGTCAACACCCCCCATCACCCCCAAATCACACTGACAGCACCCCAAAACCCCCCCTCGTTGCATAAACTCACCCCAAATCCCCCCCCCGGATCCATAAGGACTCATTTAAACACCCCCAATCAATCCGCCCCCCCCCCCGCCATAGCCCACTTGGACTCGCCCAAGCGGCACCCAAACACCCCTCCCACTAGGACCGTACCATCCGTCCGGGGGGGGGGTGTCCCCCTCTTCACACCCCAAAACACCCCCCATCAACAACAAACCCCCCAAACCCACACTGACCTCCCTATAGACACCCCTAAACCCCTTCCAGCACCCAAAAACCCGTTTTAACCCCCTAAAACCCCTTTAGAAACCATACACCCCCCCCCCGGGATCCCCCCGCCGGTACCCGAATGGTTTCTCCTGGCCCGGCAGCGCCTCTCGGGCCCCGCTCACGCGCTCAGCACCTGAGGGAAGAGGCGGGCCAAGACGCTGCCCCAGCGCACCAGGCGCGCACCACATCTACACCGCGGGGGGGGACAAGGCGGGGTAAGGAGCCATGTGGGGCACCCCCTGCCCCATAGCGCACCCCCCCTGCCCCATAGGGACCCTCCCAGACCCATATGGACGTAGCCACACACACACGGAACCTCCCAGATCCCATGTGGAAGGCACCACATATAGACACCCCCCCACACACACCCCCCCCCCGGAGGAACATGGAACAGCCCAGCATCCCCCCATTCATATACCCCTATTTCCACCTTCATTTCCTCCTCAATTTCCCATTTCCTCCAATTTCCTACCTAAATTTGCTATTTTCCCCCATTTCCCTCCTTAAATTTGCTATTTCCCCCCATTTCCTCCCCATTTCCCCCTAAATTTGCTATTTCCCCCATTTAACTCCTTAAATTTCCTATTTCCCCCATTTTCCCTCCCCAAATTTGCTATTTCCCCCATTTAACTCCTTAAATTTCCTATTTCCCCATTTCCCTCCCCAAATTTGCTATTTCCCCCAATTTCCCTTCATTTCCCCCATAATTTTGCTATTTTCCCCCATTTCCCTCTCCAAATTTGCCATTTCCCCCATTTCCCTTCATTTCCCCCATAAATTTGCCATTTCCCCCCATTTCCCTTCATTTCCCCCATAAATTTGCTATTTCCCCCCCATTTCCCTTCATTTCCCCCATAATTTTGCTATTTTCCCCATTTCCCTCTCCAAATTTGCCATTTCCCCCCATTTCCCTTCATTTCCCCCATAAATTTGCTATTTCCCCCCATTTCCCTCCCTAAATTTGCTATTCCCCCCATTTCCCTTCATTTCCCCCATAAATTTTGCTATTTCCCCATCTCCTCCCCATTTCCCTCCCTAAATTTGCTATTTCCCCCATTTCCCCCCTAAATTTGCTATTTCCCCCCATTTCCCTTCATTTCCCTCCTTAAATTTCCTATTTCCCCCCATTTTCTCCCAATTTCCCCCCAAATTTGCTATTTCCCCAATATCCTCCCCATTCCCATCCCCCCTTTCCCCCCTATTTCCCATTCCCCTCCATTTGCCCCCCAATTCCCATTACCTCCCATTTCCCCTGCCTATTCCCATATCCCCCATTTCCCATTCCCATTTCCCCATCATTTCCCCCCATTTCTCTCCCATTTCCCCATTCATTTCCCCCCATTTCCCATTTCCTCCCCATTCCCCCCATTTCTTCCCAATTCTCCCCTATTTCCCCCTCAATTTCCTGCCTATTTCCCATTCTCCCCCATTTCCCATCCCATTTCCCCATCATTTCCCCATTCCCCATCCGTTTCCCCCAATTCCCATTCCCCATTTCCCATTCCCATTTCCCACCCCATTTCCATCCCATTTCCCCCATTTCCCATCCCATTTCCCCCAATTCCCATTCTCCCATTCCCCCCCCATTTCCCATCCCATTCCCCCCCCATTTCCCATCCCATTTCCCCTATTCCATTCCCATTTCCCCCATTCCCATTCCCATTTCCCATCCAATTTCCCATTTCCCATTCCCCCCCCATTCCCCCCTATTTCCCATCCCATTCCCCCCATTTCCCCCCCCATTTCCCATCCATTTCCCCATTCCCATTTCCATCCCATCCCATCCCCACTCACGCCAGCACGAGTGCCTCCAGCACATCCAGTGCATCCAAGTGCACCGCGGGCAGCAGCAGCATCCTTAAGGCTCCATCCCCAGCAGCACTCTGTGGGGGGGGCACCCATATATGGGGCTGTCCCCCCCCCTTGCACCCCCAAACATCCCCAATGCAATGGGATGCTCCCATTCCCCCCCCATAACGCAAAGGGATGCTTCCATTCCCCCCCATAACGCAATGGGATGCTCCCATTCCCCCCCCATAACGCAATGGGATGCTCCCATTCCCCCTCCCATAACGCAATGGGATGCTCCCATTCCCCCCCATAACGCAATGGGATGCTCCCATTCCCCCCCCATAACGCAATGGGATGCTCCCATTCCCCCCCATACGCAATGGGATGCTCCCATTCCCCCCCCATAACGCAATGGATGCTCCCATTCCCCCACATAACGCAATGGGATGCTCCCATTCCCCCCCCATAACGCAATGGGATGCTCCCATCCCCCCCCCATAACGCAATGGGATGCTCCCATTCCCCCCATAACGCAATGGGATGCTCCCATTCCCCCCCCCAGGTAACACAATGGGATGCTCCCATTCCCCCCCATAACGCAATGGGATGCTCCCATTCCCCCCCATAACGCAATGGGACGGTCCCAGACCCCCACCCCGAGGCCGTGGAAGGTTCCAACTCACGATGGTTTTGGGGGTGATGTTCAGGGCCCGGCACACGAGGTCCAGGATGTCCTGAACCGGCACCGTCACCGGGGCAACGAACTCCTTGCTGCGGGGGGGGGGGAGATGGGGGTCAAAGGGGGGGGTTGGGTGTATTTTGGGGTGGTTTTGGGGGTATTTTGGGGGGTATTTTAGGGGTATTCTAGAGTGTTTTGGGTGTATTTTAGGGGTGTTTTGGGTGTATTTTAGGGGTGTTTTGGGTGTATTTTAGGGAGGTTTTGGGTGTATTTTAGGGTGTTCCGGGTGTTTTTAGGGGTGTTCTGGGTGTATTTTAGGGGTGTTTTGGGTGTATTTTAGGGGTGTTTTGGGTGTATTTTAGGGGTGTTTTGGGCGTATTTTAAGGGTGTTTTGGGTGTATTTTAGGGAGGTTTTTGGTGTATTTTAGGGGAGTTCCGGGTGTTTTTAGGGGTGTTTTGGGTGTATTTTAAGGGTGTTTTGGGTGTATTTTAGGGGTGTTTTGGGTGTATTTTAGGGGTGTTTTGGGTGTATTCTAGGGAGGTTTTTGGTGTATTTTAGGGGAGTTCCGGGTGTTTTTAGGGGTGTTTTGGGTGTATTTTAAGGGTGTTTTGGGTGTATTTTAGGGGTGTTTTGGGTGTATTTTAGGGGTGTTTTGGGTGTATTTTAGGGGTGTTTTGGGTGTATTTTAAGGGTGTTTTGGGTGTATTTTAGGGAGGTTTTGGGTGTATTTTAGGGGTGTTTTGGGTGTATTTTAGGGGTGTTTTGGGGTGTATTTCGGGGTGTACTTTAGGGTGTTCCGAGGTGTTTTGGGTGTGTACTTTAGGGGTGTTTTGGGGGTATTTTGTGGTGTTTTGGGGGTAGTTTGGGTGTGTTTGGGGTGTATTTGGGGTGGTTTAAGGATATTTTTGGGGTCTTTTGGGTGTATCAGGGGCTCTTTTAGAGCATTTCAGGTGTATTTTGGGCAGTTTTGGTTCGTTTTGGGTGTATTTGCAGCCATTTTGGTGCATTTTGGGTGTATTTCGGGCCGGTTTGGTCCATTTTGGGTGGATTTGGGGCTGTTTTGGTGCATTCTGGGTGTATTTGAGGCCGTTTTGTTGCTTTTTTTGTGTATTTGGGGCTGTTTTGGTGCATTTTGGGTGTATTTGGGGCCGGCTTGTTGCAATTTTGGTGCATTTTGGGTGGATTTGGGTGGATTTTGGTGCATTTTGTGTGGATTTCGGTGCATTTTGGGTGTATTTTGGTGCATTTTGGGTAGATTTGGTGCATTTTGGGTGTATTTGGGGCTCTTTTGGTGCATTTTGGGTGTACTTTGGGGCATTTTGGGTGGACTTGGGGTGAATTTTGGTGCATTTTGGGTGTATTTGGTGCATTTGGGGCTGTTTTGGTGCATTTTGGGTGGATTTTTGTGCATTTTCGGTGTATTTGGGGCTGTTTTGGTGCATTTTAGGTGGATTTGGGTTTTTTTTATTGCATTTTGGGTGGATTTTGGTGCATTTTGGGTGTATTTGGGGCTGTTTTGGTGCATTTTGGGTGTATTTGGGGCTGTTTTGGTGCATTTTGGGTGGATTTGGTGCATTTGGGGCTGTTTTGGTGCATTTTGGGTGGATTTGGGGCTGTTTTGGTGCATTTTGGGTGTATTTGGGGCTGTTTTGGTGCATTTTGGGTGGATTTTGGTGCATTTTATGTGGATTTGGGGGGTGTTTGGGGCCATTCTGGTACCTGAGCAGCAGCTGCAGGACCCGCGCCAGCCCGGAGCAGCGCTTGTGCAGGGTGAGGCTGATGCCGGGGTCCCCGTCGGGGGGGGGCGGGAGCAGAAGCTCCACCCCCGGCCCCTCATAGGGCAGCGGCTCTGGGGGGGCAAGGGGGGGTCAAGGACGGGGACCCCATAGAGCCCCATAGACCCCCCATAGACCTCCCATAGAGCCCCATACACACCCCATAGACCTCCCATAGACCCCCAGAGACACCTATAGACCCCCCATAGACACCCATAGACCCCTATAGAACCCATATAGACCCCAGCAGACCCCCCATAGACCCCTATAGACACCCATAGACCCCTATAGACCCCCATATAGGCACATAGATCCCTATAGAACCCATATAGACCCCAACAGACCCCCCATAGAGCCCCCTAGACCCCTATAGACCCCCATAGACCCCTATAGACCCCATATAGACCCCAACAGACCCCCCACAGACCCCTCTAGACCCCCCCAAAAACCCCCATAGAGCCCCATAGACCCCCCAAAGACCCCCATAGACACCCATAGACCCCCCAAAGACCCCCATAGAGCCCCATAGACACCCATAGACCCCCCAAAGACCCTCATAGAGCCCCACAGACCCCCATAGACCCCCCTATAGGCCCCATTACCGCTCTCGCAGCCCTCGAAGAGCTCCCCGAGCAGCGCATGCAGCGTGGCCAGGAGCCCCTGCAGCTCCTGGTGCCAGCCCTCCGTGTGCCGCAGCCCCTGCGCGAAGCCGCGGCCCAGCGCCGGCACCAGCGCGTAACATTCACATGCCAGCTGCAAAATGGGGTGAAAACGGGTCAAAACGGCCCCAAAACGGCCCCAAACACCCCAAAAATGGCCTAAAACGCCCCAAAATACCCCTAGAACGACCCCAAAATGAGCTAAAACGGCCCAAAATGAGCCCAAAACGCCCCTAAAGCGCCCCCTGTAGCCCATGTGAGGGATTGCAGCTCAGGGGTGGCACCCGCGCATCGCGCTCAAATTCCAGATGAAATAGGGCGAAAACGGGTCAAAACGGCCTGAAAATGGTCTAAAACCCCCGAAAATGGCCTAAAACACCCCAAAATACCCCTAAAATGACCCCAAAATGAGCTAAAACGGCCCAAAATGAGCCCAAAACGCCCCTAGAGCGCCCTCTGGAGCCCATGTGAGGGATTGCAGCTCAGTGGTGGCACCAGCGCATCGCACTCACACGCTAGCTATAACGGGGGGGAAATGGGTCAAAACAGCCCCAAAACAGCGCAAAAACACCCCAAAACCACCTGAAACGCCTCCTAAACCCTTAAAACGACCCAAAATCCACCTAAACCAGCCCAAAATGACCCAAAAACCATAGAAAACACCCTAAAATTGCCTTAAAACCCCCTTGGGAGCCACTGGAAGAGCTCATGTGCCACCTAGAATAGGGGGGGACACGACTCAAACCAGCCCTAAACCAGCCCCAAAACCACCTGAAACAGCCCCAAAACCACCTGAAACAGCCCCAAAACCACCTGAAATAACCCCAAAACCCTCTAAAACAACCCAAAATCCACCTAAACCCGCCCAAAATGACCCAAAACCCATAGAAACCACCCCAAAACCCCCTTGGGAGCCACTGGAAGAGCTCATGTGCCACCTAGAATGGGGGGGGGACACGACTCAAACCAGCCCCAAACCAGCCCCAAAACCACCTGAAACAGCCCCAAAATCACCTGAAAGAGCCCCAAAATCAACTGAAATAACCCTAAAACCCTCTAAAACTATCCCAAATCCACCTAAACCCGCCCAAAATGACCCAAAACCCATAGAAACCACCCCAAAACCCCCTTGGGAGCCACTGGAAGAGCTCATGTGCCACCTAGAATAGGGGGGGGACACGACTCAAACCAGCCCTAAACCAGCCCCAAAACCACCTGAAACAGCCCCAAAACCACCTCAAAAAGCCCCAAAATCACCTGAAATAACCCCAAAACCCTCTAAAAGAACCCAAAATCCACCTAAACCCGCCCAAAATGACCCAAAACCCATAGAAACCACCCCAAAACCCCCTTGGGAGCCACTGGAAAAGCTCATGTGCCACCTAGAATAGGGGGGGAAACGACTCAAACCAGCCCCAAAACAGCCCCAAAAACACCTGAAACAGCCCCAAAACCACCTGAAAGAGCCCCAAAACCACCTGAAATAACCCCAAAACCCTCTAAAAGAACCCAAAATCCACCTAAACCCGCCCAAAATGACCCAAAACCCATAGAAACCACCCCAAAACCCCCTTGGGAGCCACTGGAAGAGCTCATGTGCCACCTAGAATAGGGGGGGGACACGACTCAAACCAGCCCTAAACCAGCCCCAAAACCACCTGAAACAGCCCCAAAACCACCTGAAACAGCCCCAAAATCACCTGAAATAACCCCAAAACCCTCTAAAACAACCCAAAATCCACCTAAACCCGCCCAAAATGACCCAAAACCCATAGAAACCACCCCAAAACCCCCTTGGGAGCCACTGGAAGAGCTCATGTGCCACCTAGAATAGGGAGGGACACGACTCAAACCAGCCCCAAACCAGCCCCAAAACCACCTGAAACAGCCCCAAAACAACCTCAAAAAGCCCCAAAATCAGCTGAAATAACCCCAAAACCCTCGAAAACAACCCCAAATCCACCTAAACCCGCCCAAAATGACCCAAAACCCATAGAAACCACCCCAAAACCCCCTTGGGAGCCACTGGAAGAGCTCATGTGCCACCTAGAATAGGGGGGGACACGACTCAAACCAGCCCTAAACCAGCCCCAAAACCACCTGAAACAGCCCCAAAACCACCTGAAACAGCCCCAAAACCACCTGAAATAACCCCAAAACCCTCTAAAACAACCCAAAATCCACCTAAACCCGCCCAAAATGACCCAAAACCCATAGAAACCACCCCAAAACCCCCTTGGGAGCCACTGGAAGAGCTCATGTGCCACCTAGAATAGGGGGGGACACGACTCAAACCAGCCCTAAACCAGCCCCAAAACCACCTGAAACAGCCCCAAAACCACCTGAAATAACCCCAAAACCCTCTAAAACAACCCCAAAATCCACCTAAACCCGCCCAAAATGACCCAAAACCCATAGAAACCACCCCAAAACCCCCTTGGGAGCCACTGGAAGAGCTCATGTGCCACCTAGAATGGGGGGGGACACGACTCAAACCAGCCCTAAACCAGCCCCAAAACCACCTGAAACAGCCCCAAAACCACCTGAAACAGCCCCAAAACCACCTGAAATAACCCCAAAACTCTCTAAAACAACCCAAAATCCACCTAAACCCGCCCAAAATGACCCAAAACCCATAGAAACCACCCCAAAACCCCCTTGGGAGCCACTGGAAGAGCTCATGTGCCACCTAGAATGGGGGGGGACACGACCCAAACCAGCCCTATACCAGCCCCAAAACCACCTGAAACAGCCCCAAAACCACCTGAAACAGCCCCAAAACCACCTGAAACAGCCCCAAAATCACCTGAAATAACCCCAAAACCCTCTAAAAGAACCCAAAATCCACCTAAACCCGCCCAAAATGACCCAAAACCCATAGAAACCACCCCAAAACCCCCTTGGGAGCCACTGGAAGAGCTCATGTGCCACCTAGAATGGGGGGGGACACGACCCAAACCAGCCCTATACCAGCCCCAAAACCACCCGAAACAGCCCCAAAACCACCCCAAAAAGCCCCCAAACCGCCCCTAAACCACCCCAAATTATGATGGGACCCCCCCAAGTCAAAGTGTGGGGGGGAACACCCCCAAATTACCCCCCCACAACCCCCCCTTTACCTGCTGCACTTGGGGGGAGTCGGAGTCGATGCGGGCTAGGAAGTAGGCGGCCAGTTTGCCCTATGGGGGTCAATGGGGGGCAATGGGGGTCAATGGGGGGCAAAGGGGGTCAAAGGGGGGCAAAGGGGGTCAATGGGGATCAATGGCGATCAATGGGGGTCAATGGGGGGCAATGGGGGTCAATGGGGATCAATGGCGATCAATGGGGGTCAATGGGGGTCAAAGGGGGTCAAAGGGGGTCAAAGGGGGTCAATAAGGGTCAATGGGGGTCAATGGGGGTCAATGGGGGTCAAAGAGGGGCAATGGGGGGCAAAGGCGGTCAATGGGGGCAAAGGGGGTCAATGGGGGGCAATGGGGGTTAATGGGGGTCAAAGGGGGTTAATGGGGGCAAAGGGGGTCAATGGGGGTCAAAGGGGGGCAATGGGGGCAATGGGGGTCAATGGGGGTCAAAGGGGGGCAATGGGGGTCAAAGAGGGTCAATGGGGGGCAATGGGGTTTAATGGGGATCAATGGGGGTCAATGGGGGTCAATGGGGGTCAAAGGGGGTCAAAAGGGATCAAAGAGGGTCAATGGGGGTCAATGGGGATCAATGGGGGTCAAAGAGGGGCAATGGGGGCAAAGGGGGCAAAGGGGGTCAATGGGGGCAAAGGGGGGCAATGGGGGGCAATGGGGGGCAATGGGGGTTAATGGGGGTCAAAGGGGGTTAATGGGGGCAATGGGGGTCAAAGGGGGTCAATGGGGGGCAATGGGGATCAATGGGGATTAATGGGGGACAATGGGGGTTAAAGGGGGTCAATGGGGGTCAAAGGGGGTCAAAGGGGGCAAAGGGGGGCAATGGGGGTCAAAGGCATTCAATGGGGATCAATGGGGGTCAAAGGGGGTAAATGGGGTCAATGGGGGGCAATGGGGGGCAATGGGGTTTAATGGGGATCAATGGGGGACAATGGAGGACAATGGGGGTCAAAGAGGGTCAATGGGGGTCAATGGGGATCAATGGGGATCAATGGGGGTCAAAGAGGGTCAAAGGGGGCAATGGGGGTCAATGGGGGTCAAAGAGGGTCAAAGGGGGCAATGGGGGTCAATGGGGGGGTTCTTACCCGCATGGAGCCGCAGGCGCGGGGGTAGAAGCTCATGCAGGCCTTGATGCCCTCTAGCGTGGAGACCTCGCACTTGGGGGGCAGAGGGGGATATGTGGGGCAGGGCAGCCCCATAGGGGGCGGCAAGGGGAGATGAGCAGCCCCAAATACCCCCCACGGCACCTCTAGAACCCCATAGAGAGACCATAGGGGAACATGCGACCCCATATGATCCGGTGTAGTACCCATATAAACCCCATAGAACCCCATAGAACCCCCATAGAACCCCTATAGCACCCCATAGAACCCTATATAACCCCATATAACTCCTATATAGCCCCATAGAACCCCACAGAACCCCAATATAAGCCCTATATAACCCCATATAACCCCTATATAGCCCCATAGAACCCCATAGAGCCCCAATATAAGCCCTATATAACCCCATATAACTCCTACATAACCCCCATATAGCCCCATATAACTCCATGTAACCCCAATATAAGCCCTATATAACCCCATATAACCCCAATATATCACCCCATATAACTCCATACACCCCATATAACCCCATCTAACCCCAATATAACCCCATAGAACCTCTATATAACCCCATATAATCCCTTTAAAACCTCATATAATCCCTATATAACCCCTATAAAGCCCCATAGAACCCCTTTAAAACCCCATAGAACACCTACAGAACCCCATAGAACCCCCATATAACTCCTCTATAACTCCATAGAACCCCAATGGAACCCCATAGAACCCCCATAGAGCCCCATTGTAACCCCATAGAACCCCCATAGAGCCCCATTGTAACCCCATAGAACCCCATTCTAACCCCATAGAACCCCCATAGAGCCCCATTGTAACCCCAATAGAACCCCACAGAACCCCTTTAAAACCCCATAGAACCCCCCTAGCGCCCCATATGCCCCCGCTATGGGGCTCACCTCGGGGCGCAGGACCAGCAGGGAGGTCAGCAGCCCCGGGATGTGGTCGGTGCCGATGTCCCCATAGAACCCCATAGAGCCCCATTGTAACCCCATAGAACCCCACAGAGCCCCATTGTAACCCCATAGAACCCCATAGAGCCCCATTCTAACCCCATAGAACCCCATAGAGCCCCATTGTAACCCCATAGAACCCCTTTAAAACCCCACAGAACCCCCATAGAACCCCATAGAACCCCCCTAGCGCCCCATATGCCCCCGCTATGGGGCTCACCTCGGGGCGCAGGGCCAGCAGGGAGGTCAGCAGCCCCGGGATGTGGTCGGTGCCGATGTCCCCATAGAACCCCATAGAGCCCCATTGTAACCCCATAGAACCCCATAGAGCCCCATTGTAACCCCATAGAACCCCATAGAGCCCCATTCTAACCCCATAGAACCCCATAGAGCCCCATTGTAACCCCATAGAATCCCCATAGAGCCCCATTGTAACCCCATAGAACCCCCATAGAGCCCCATTCTAACCCCATAGAATCCCCATAGAGCCCCATTGTAACCCCATAGAACCCCATAGAGCCCCATTGTAACCCCATAGAACCCCCATAGAGCCCCATTGTAACCCCATAGAACCCCATTGTAACCCCATAGAACCCCACAGAGCCCCATTGTAACCCCATAGAACCCCTTTAAAACCCCATAGAACCCCTTTAAAACCCCACAGAACCCCCATAGAACCCCATAGAACCCCCCTAGCGCCCCATATGCCCCCGCTATGGGGCTCACCTCGGGGCGCAGGGCCAGCAGGGAGGTCAGCAGCCCCGGGATGTGGTCGGTGCCGATGTCCCCATAGAACCCCATAGAGCCCCATTGTAACCCCATAGAACCCCATAGAGCCCCATTGTAACCCCATAGAACCCCCATAGAGCCCCATTGTAACCCCATAGAACCCCATAGAGCCCCATTGTAACCCCATAGAACCCCATAGAGCCCCATTGTAACCCCATAGAACCCCCATAGAGCCCCATTGTAGCCCCATAGAACCCCATTGTAACCCCATAGAACCCCCATAGAGCCCCATTGTAACCCCATAGAACCCCCATAGAGCCCCATTGTAACCCCATAGAACCCCATAGAGCCCCATTGTAACCCCATAGAACCCCATAGAGCCCCATTGTAACCCCATAGAACCCCATAGAGCCCCATTCTAACCCCATAGAACCCCATAGAGCCCCATTGTAACCCCATAGAACCCCTTTAAAACCCCACAGAACCCCCATAGAACCCCATAGAACCCCCATAGCGCCCCATATGCCCTCGCTATGGGGCTCACCTCGGGGCGCAGGGCCAGCAGGGAGGTCAGCAGCCCCGGGATGTGGTCGGTGCCGATGTCCCCATAGAACCCCATAGAGCCCCATTGTAACCCCATAGAACCCCATAGAGCCCCATTGTAACCCCATAGAACCCTCATAGAGCCCCATTGTAACCCCATAGAACCCCTTTAAAACCCCATAGAACCCCCATAGAACCCCCCTAGCGCCCCATATGCCCCCGCTATGGGGCTCACCTCGGGGCGCAGGGCCAGCAGGGAGGTCAGCAGCCCCGGGATGTGGTCGGTGCCGATGTCCCCATAGAACCCCATAGAGCCCCATTGTAACCCCATAGAACCCCATAGAGCCCCATTCTAACCCCATAGAACCCCACAGAGCCCCATTCTAACCCCATAGAACCCCATAGAGCCCCATTGTAACCCCATAGAACCCCTTTAAAACCCCACAGAACCCCCATAGAACCCCATAGAACCCCCCTAGCGCCCCATATGCCCCCGCTATGGGGCTCACCTCGGGGCGCAGGGCCAGCAGGGAGGTCAGCAGCCCCGGGATGTGGTCGGTGCCGATGTCCCCATAGAACCCCATAGAGCCCCATTGTAACCCCATAGAACCCCATAGAGCCCCATTGTAACCCCATAGAACCCCAAAGAGCCCCATTGTAACCCCATAGAACCCCCATAGAGCCCCATTGTAACCCCATAGAACCCCATAGAGCCCCATTGTAACCCCATAGAACCCCATAGAGCCCCATTGTAACCCCATAGAACCCCATAGAGCCCCATTGTAACCCCATAGAACCCCCATAGAGCCCCATTGTAACCCCATAGAACCCCTATAAAACCCCATAGAACCCCCATAGAACCCCATAGAACCCCCCTAGCGCCCCATATGCCCCCGCTATGGGGCTCACCTCGGGGCGCAGGGCCAGCAGGGAGGTCAGCAGCCCCGGGATGTGGTCGGTGCCGATGTCCCCATAGAACCCCATAGAGCCCCATTGTAACCCCATAGAACCCCACAGAGCCCCATTGTAACCCCATAGAACCCCATAGAGCCCCATTGTAACCCCATAGAACCCCATAGAGCCCCATTGTAACCCCATAGAACCCCCATAGAGCCCCATTGTAACCCCATAGAACCCCTATAAAACCCCATAGAACCCCCATAGAACCCCATAGAACCCCCCTAGCGCCCCATATGCCCCCGCTATGGGGCTCACCTCGGGGCGCAGGGCCAGCAGGGAGGTCAGCAGCCCCGGGATGTGGTCGGTGCCGATGTCCCCATAGAACCCCATAGAGCCCCATTGTAACCCCATAGAACCCCATAGAGCCCCATTGTAACCCCATAGAACCCCATAGAGCCCCATTGTAACCCCATAGAGCCCCATTGTAACCCCATAGAACCCCCATAGAGCCCCATTGTAACCCCATAGAACCCCCATAGAGCCCCATTGTAACCCCATAGAACCCCATAGAGCCCCATTGTAACCCCATAGAACCCCATAGAGCCCCATTGTAACCCCATAGAACCCCATAGAGCCCCATTGTAACCCCATAGAACCCCATAGAACCCCCCTAGCGCCCCATATGCCCCCGCTATGGGGCTCACCTCGGGGCGCAGGGCCAGCAGGGAGGTCAGCAGCCCCGGGATGTGGTCGGTGCCGATGTCCCCATAGAACCCCATAGAGCCCCATTGTAACCCCATAGAACCCCATAGAGCCCCATTGTAACCCCATAGAACCCCAAAGAGCCCCATTGTAACCCCATAGAACCCCCATAGAGCCCCATTGTAACCCCATAGAACCCCATAGAGCCCCATTGTAACCCCATAGAACCCCATAGAGCCCCATTGTAACCCCATAGAACCCCATAGAGCCCCATTGTAACCCCATAGAACCCCCATAGAGCCCCATTGTAACCCCATAGAACCCCTATAAAACCCCATAGAACCCCCATAGAACCCCATAGAACCCCCCTAGCGCCCCATATGCCCCCGCTATGGGGCTCACCTCGGGGCGCAGGGCCAGCAGGGAGGTCAGCAGCCCCGGGATGTGGTCGGTGCCGATGTCCCCATAGAACCCCATAGAGCCCCATTGTAACCCCATAGAACCCCATAGAGCCCCATTGTAACCCCATAGAACCCCAAAGAGCCCCATTGTAACCCCATAGAACCCCATAGAGCCCCATTGTAACCCCATAGAACCCCCATAGAGCCCCATTGTAACCCCATAGAACCCCATAGAGCCCCATTGTAACCCCATAGAACCCCATAGAGCCCCATTGTAACCCCATAGAACCCCATAGAGCCCCATTGTAACCCCATAGAACCCCATAGAGCCCCATTGTAACCCCATAGAACCCCATAGAGCCCCATTGTAACCCCATAGAACCCCTTTAAAACCCCATAGAACCCCTTTAAAACCCCATAGAACCGCCATAGAACCCCATAGAACCCCCCTAGCGCCCCATATGCCCCCGCTATGGGGCTCACCTCGGGGCTCAGGGCCAGCAGGGAGGTCAGCAGCCCCGGGATGTGGTCGGTGCCGATGTCCCCATAGAACCCCATAGAGCCCCATTGTAACCCCATAGAACCCCATAGAGCCCCATTGTAACCCCATAGAACCCCATAGAGCCCCATTGTAACCCCATAGAACCCCATAGAGCCCCATTGTAACCCCATAGAACCCCATAGAGCCCCATTGTAACCCCATAGAACCCCCATAGAGCCCCATTGTAACCCCATAGAACCCCTATAAAACCCCATAGAACCCCCATAGAACCCCATAGAACCCCCCTAGCGCCCCATATGCCCCCGCTATGGGGCTCACCTCGGGGCGCAGGGCCAGCAGGGAGGTCAGCAGCCCCGGGATGTGGTCGGTGCCGATGTCCCCATAGAACCCCATAGAGCCCCATTGTAACCCCATAGAACCCCATAGAGCCCCATTGTAACCCCATAGAACCCCATAGAGCCCCATTGTAACCCCATAGAACCCCCATAGAGCCCCATTGTAACCCCACAGAACCCCTTTAAAACCCCATAGAACCCCCATAGAACCCCCCTAGCGCCCCATATGCCCCCGCTATGGGGCTCACCTCGGGGCGCAGGGCCAGCAGGGAGGTCAGCAGCCCCGGGATGTGGTCGGTGCCGATGTCCCCATAGAACCCCATAGAGCCCCATTGTAACCCCATAGAACCCCCATAGAGCCCCGTTCTAACCCCATAGAACCCCATAGAGCCCCATTGTAACCCCATAGAACCCACATAGAGCCACATTCTACCCCCATAGAACCCCATAGAGCCCCATTGTAACCCCATAGAACCCCCATAGAGCCCCATTGTAACCCCATAGAACCCCCATAGAGCCCCATTGTAACCCCATAGAACCCCTTTAAAACCCCCTAGAACCCCCTTAAAACCCCATAGAACCCCCCTAGCGCCCCATATGCCCCCGCTATGGGGCTCACCTCGGGGCGCAGGGCCAGCAGGGAGGTCAGCAGCCCCGGGATGTGGTCGGTGCCGATTCCCCATAGAACCCCATAGAACCCCATTGTAACCCCATAGAACCCCCATAGAGCCCCATTGTAACCCCATAGAACCCCATAGAGCCCCATTGTAACCCCATAGAACCCCAAAGAGCCCCATTGTAACCCCATAGAACCCCATAGAGCCCCATTGTAACCCCATAGAACCCCTTTAAAACCCCATAGAACCCCCATAGAACCCCCCTAGCGCCCCATATGCCCCCGCTATGGGGCTCACCTCGGGGCGCAGGGCCAGCAGGGAGGTCAGCAGCCCCGGGATGTGGTCGGTGCCGATGTCCCCATAGAACCCCATAGAGCCCCATTGTAACCCCATAGAACCCCATAGAGCCCCATTGTAACCCCATAGAACCCCATAGAGCCCCATTCTAACCCCATAGAACCCCATAGAGCCCCATTGTAACCCCATAGAACCCCTTTAAAACCCCCTAGAACCCCCATAGAACCCCATAGAACCCCCCTAGCGCCCCATATGCCCCCGCTATGGGGCTCACCTCGGGGCGCAGGGCCAGCAGGGAGGTCAGCAGCCCCGGGATGTGGTCGGTGCCGATGTCCCCATAGAACCCCATAGAGCCCCATTGTAACCCCTTAGAACCCCATAGAGCCCCATTGTAACCCCATAGAACCCCCATAGAGCCCCATTGTAACCCCATAGAACCCCATAGAGCCCCATTGTAACCCCATAGAACCCCCATAGAGCCCCATTGTAACCCCATAGAACCCCCATAGAGCCCCATTGTAACCCCACAGAACCCCTTTAAAACCCCATAGAACCCCATAGAACCCCCCTAGCGCCCCATATGCCCCCGCTATGGGGCTCACCTCGGGGCGCAGGGCCAGCAGGGAGGTCAGCAGCCCCGGGATGTGGTCGGTGCCGATGTCCCCATAGAACCCCATAGAGCCCCATTGCAACCCCATAGAGCCCCATTGTAACCCCATAGAACCCCATAGAGCCCATTGTAACCCCATAGAACCCCATAGAGCCCCATTGTAACCCCATAGAACCCCATAGAGCCCCATTGTAACCCCATAGAACCCCATTGTAACCCCATAGAACCCCATAGAGCCCCATTGTAACCCCATAAGAACCCCATAGAGCCCCATTGTAACCCCATAGAACCCCCATAGAGCCCCATTGTAACCCCATAGAACCCCTATAAAACCCCCTAGAACCCCCATAGAACCCCATAGAACCCCCCTAGCGCCCCATATGCCCCCGCTATGGGGCTCACCTCGGGGCGCAGGGCCAGCAGGGAGGTCAGCAGCCCCGGGATGTGGTCGGTGCCGATGTCCCGCGCCAGCTCGGGCAGTTGGGAGGAGAAGCGGAGCAGGTCCTGGAGCACCAGGACCCCCAGCGCCATGGTGGGGGGCGGGTCCTGAGACTATGGGGCGGGAGGGGGGGGGGAGACACAGTGAGCCCCATTGGTTCTTATGGGGCATCCCTATGAGATGAACCCATAGAGCACCATAGAGCCCCATAGAGCCCAATAGAGCCCCATAGAGCATCATAGAGCCCAATAGAGCCCCATAGAGCATCATAGAGCCCAATAGAGCCCCATAGAGCATCATAGAGCCCAATAGAGCCCCATAGAGCATCATAGAGCCCAATAGAGCCCCATAGAGCCTCATAGAACCCCATAGAGCCCCCATAGAGCCCCACAGAAACCCCATAGCGCCCAATAGAGCCCCCATAGAGCCCCATAGAGGCCCAGAGGCCGCATAGAGCCCCATAGAGCCCCACAGAGCCCCCACAGAGCCCAGTAGAGCCCCATAGAGACGCCATAGAACCCCATAGAGCCCAATAGAGCCCCATAGAGCATCACAGAGCCCCCATAAAGCCCCATAGAGTATCATGGAGCCCCACAGAGCCCCCATAGAGCCCAACAGAGCCCCATAGAGACCCCATAGAACCCCATAGAGCCCAATAGAGCCCCACAGAGCATCATAGAGCCCCCATAGAGCCCCACAGAGCCCCATAGAGCCCCCATAGAGCCCCATAGAGCCCCACAGAGCCTCATAGAGCCCCATAGAGCCCCATATAGCCCAATAGAGCCCCATAGAGCATCATAGAGCCCCCATAGAGCCCCACAGAGCCTCATAGAACCCCATAGAGCCCTACAGAAACCCCTTAGCGCCCCATAGAGCCCAATAGAGCCCCCATAAAGCCCCATAGAGCCCCATAGAGGCCCAATAGAGCCCCATAGAGACGCCATAGAACCCCATGGAGCCCAATAGAGCCCCATAGAGCATCACAGAGCCCCCATAAAGCCCCATAGAGCATCATAGAGCCCCACAGAGCCCCCATAGAGCCCCCATAGAGCCCAATAGAGCCCCATAGAGACCCCATAGAACCCCATAGAGCCCAATAGAGCCCCATAGAGCATCACAGAGCCCCCATAAAGCCCCATAGAGCATCATAGAGCCCCACAGAGCCCCCATAGAGCCCATTAGAGCCCCACAGAGACCCCATAGAACCCCATAGAGCCCAATAGAGCCCCACAGAGCATCATAGAGCCCCCATAGAGCCCAATAGAGCCCCATAGAGCCCCACAGAGCCCCATAGAGCCCACATAGAGCCCCACAGAGCCCCATAGAGGCCAATAGAGCCCCCACAGAGCCCCATAGAGCCACACAGAGCCTCATAGAACCCCATAGAGCCCCATAGAGTCCCCATAAAGCCCCATAGAGCATCCTAGAGCCCCACAGAGCCCCCATAGAGACCCCATATAGCCCAATAGAGCCCCACAGAGACCCCATAGAACCCCATAGAGCCCAATAGAGCCCCACAGAGCATCATAGAGCCCCCATAGAGCCCAATAGAGCCCCATAGAGCCCAATAGAGCCCCACAGAGCATCATAGAGCCCCCATAGAGCCCAATAGAGCCCCATAGAGCCCCCATAGAGCCCAATAGAGCCGCACAGAGCCCCCATAGAGCCCCATAGAGCCCCACAGAGCCCCCATAGAGCCCCATAGAGCCCCCGTAGAGCCCCACAGAGCCCCCATAGAGCCCCCATAGAACCCCATAGAGCCCCCATAGAGCCCCACAGAGCCCCCATAGAACCCCATAGAGCCCCATAGAACCCCCATAGACCACACATAGAGCCCCTTAGAACCCCCATAGAGCCCCATAGAGCCCCATAGAACCCCATAGAGCCCCATAGAGCCCCACAGCGCCCCCTTACCTGCAGGAGGTGCTGCAGGGCCCGCAGCCAGCCCAGGCAGTGCTGGGTAAAGGGCTCCGTGGGGCTCTCGCTCACCAGGAGGGAGAGGAGGCAGAGCCCCTCGAACCTGCAACGCCATTGGCTGAGGCGGGCCAAGAGGCAGGCCCTCATTGGTCAACGCTGCAACACCCCCCCCCCCCCCCCCCTTCCAACCCCTGCAGCCAATAGGGAGGGGGAGCTCACGGGTGGGGCACAAGGACACGCCCCCCCCCCCCCCCGCCCCAACAGCCATTGGCCAATGGGGAGGCAGCGCGACACGGAGGCAGCGTCTGATTGGCTGCCTCTTTGTCAAGCCCCGCCCACCTGCGTGCTGATTGGCTGCACGCCCTGCCTCGCAGCCAATAGGGAGGGGGAGCTCACGGGTGGGGCACAAGGACACGCCCCCCCCCCCCCCCCCCCCATCAGCCATTGGTCAATGGGGAGGCAGCGCAACACGAAGGTGGCGTCTGATTGGCTAGCCCCACCA